CTGCTAAGGCCTGTGCCTGTCGCCATGGCAACAGCCTGCGGCCTGCTCCTGTTGCTATGGTAACGAAGCCTGAGGCCTGTGTACTGCTAAGGCCTCTTCCTGTCTCCATGGCAACAGCCTTCAGGCTGAGGCCTGCTCCTGTTGCTATGGTAACGAAGCCTGCGGCCTGTGTACTCCCAAGGCCTACTCTGGTTGCCATGGTAACAACACCTGCGGCCTGCTTTTGTCGCCATGGCAACAAAGCCTGCGGCCTACCTACTCCCAAGGCCGGCGCTGCTTGTATCGCGACAGTGACAATAAACGCCGACGTCAGCGGTTGTGACCCCGGCTGGTGACCCCAGGGACGACGGGTGGCCAAGGGGGAAATGGGAAAAATAAGGAAAATCCGCCCAAAAATAGTGGAAAAGGCCAAAAAGGGCTAAAAAGGATCCAAAAAGGCCTCAGGAAAGGGAAAAAAAAGGTCTCAAAAAAGGTTTAAAAAGGGTCCAAAAAGGCCTCAGAAAAAGGTAAAAAAAGGCTAAAAATGGGTCCAAAAAGAGCCTGAAAAAGGCTAAAAAAGGGCTAAAAATACCTCAAAGAAAGACTAAAAAAAGGTCCAAAAAAGGTCTCAAAAAAAGCTAAAGAAGGTTAAGAAGACCTCCAAAAGAGTTAAAAATGCCTCAAAAAATACTAAAAATGGCTTAAAAGGCCTCAACAAAGGGTCCAAAAAGCCTCAAAACTGGGATTTTTTTCATTATTAAAGATAATTTTTAGCAGGAAAACGGGTTTTGGGTGGAAACAAAAGGAATTTCTGTGTGAAAAACCATTGATTTTATTGAAAAACAAGTGAAATTTTGAGAGAAAAAATTGCGTTTCCAAGGAATATCAATGGATTTATTTAAAATTTGGGGTGTTCTGAAAAGGGAAAAAAAATTGTGTTTATGGTGAGATCTGGGATTTTTTTTCCATGAAAAAAATTTATTTGGGGAGAAAATTTAATATTTTTTTTTGTACCGAGATATTTTTTTGGGAAGTTTTTTTTTCCGGAGGAAAAAAGTTCTGTGGGAAAAAAATTGAACTTTTGAGAAGGAAAAGGGAAATTTTTGAAAATTTTGGACAATTTTTGAGGGGAAAAAATAAAAAGATTTTAAAGCCCCAAAAACTCCCCAAAATTGGCAATTTTTAAAAATTAAATGAACAAAAATCCAGAATTTCTGCCCCCAAAATCGGCCTGGCCCCTCCCCCACCGCGGGTGATGAAATCCTTAATGAGAGGGGAGGAGAGGAAGATGACTGTGGTCACTCATGGGTCACTCAGGGGTCACTCAGGGGTCACTCAGGGTCCAGCCAAAGACCGGTCAGTGATGATGATGATGAAGATGACCAGTGGTCACTCAGGGCACAGTGGTCATTCAGGGTCACTCAGTGGTCACTCAGGGCGCAGTGGTCACTCAGTTGTCACTCAGTGGTCACTCAGGGTGCAGTGGTCACTCAGTGGTCACCCAGGGCCCAGCGGTCACTCAGCGGTCACTCAGTGGTCACTCAGGGCGCAGCGGTCACTCAGTGGTCACTCAGTGGTCACTCAGGGCGCAGTGGTCACTCAGTGGTCACTCAGTGGTCACTCAGGGCCCAGCGGTCACTCAGTGGTCACTCAGTGGTCACTCAGTGGTCACTCAGTGGTCACTCAGGGCGCAGTGGTCACTCAGTGGTCACTCAGGGTCGCTCAGTGGTCACTCAGTGGTCCCTCAGGGTCACTCAGGGCGCAGTGGTCACTCAGCGGTCACTCAGTGGTCACTCAGGGCGCAGTGGTCACTCAGGGCGCGGTGCAGGTGGCCGAAGTCCGGCCGCTCGGCCGCCTCGCGGGCCCAGCAGCTCAACATCAGCCGGTGCAGGGCCGGGGGGCAGCCGGGGGGACAGGGCAGGTACTGCTGGAACTGGGGTTACTGGGATGGACTGGGAGGGACTGGGAGGGACTGGGAGGGAAGTGGGAGGGACTGGGAGGGACTGGGGGGGACTGGGGGGACTGGGATTGGGATAACTGGGCCCCATAACCCCATCCCAGTTCCCCCCAGTCCATCCCAGTCCATTCCCAGTAGCTCCCAGTGCCCCAAAACCTCCTCTAAACATCTCCCAGTCCCCTTCAAATCCGTCCCAGTTCCCTCCCAGTTCTCTCCCAGTTCCTCCCAATTCCTCCCAGTTCCTCCCAGTCCCTCCCAGTTCCTCCCAGTCCCTCCCAGTCTCTCCAAATCCCCTCCCAACTCCCTCCCAGTCCCCCCAAATCCCCTCCCAGTCCCTCCCAGTCCCTCCCAGTGCACCTGCTGGCCGCGGTTGTGGAAGTGGTGGCCGGCGTTGGCGATCACCTGCTCGTCGCTCAGGGCGCCGTAGGGCTGCTCCCGGCAGCGCGTCAGCACCTCCCAGAGCGTCACCCCGAAGGCCCAGGCGTCGCTGGCCGGGCTGAACCTGCCCTGAAGCACCAAATTCGGGAATTTTGGGGATTTTTGGGGAATTTTTGGGAGGTTTGGGAAGTCAGAAAGTCCAAATTTGGGGTGTCGGTGCCTCCCAGAGCGTCACCCCGAAGGCCCAGGTGTCGCTGGCCGGGCTGAACCTGCCCTGAAACACCAAATTAGGGAATTCTGGGGATTTTTTGGGGATTTTTGGGGAATTTTTGGGAGGTTTGGGAAGTCAGGAATTCCAAATTTGGGGTGTCGGTGCCTCCCAGAGCGTCACCCCGAAGACCCAGGCGTCGCTGGCCGGGCTGAACCTGCCCTGAAGCACCAAATTTGGGAATTTTGGGGATTTTTGGGGAATTTTTGGGAGGTTTGGGAAGTCAGGAATTCCAAATTTGGGGTGTTGTCACCTCCCAGAGCGTCACCCCGAAGGCCCAGGCGTCGCTGGCCGGGCTGAACCTGCCCTGAAACACCAAATTAGGGAATTTTGGGGATTTTTGGGGAATTTTTTGGGGAATTTTTTGGGGAATTTTTGGGAGGTTTGGGAAGTCAGGAATTTCAAATTTGGGGTGTTGTCACCTCCAGAGCGTCACCCCGAAGGCCCAGGCGTCGCTGGCCGGGCTGAACCTGCCCTGAAGCACCAAATTCGGGAATTCTGGGGATTTTTGGGGAATTTTTGGGAAATTTGGGGAATTTTTGGGGAGGTTTTGGGAGCTTTTGGGAGTTTCCAGCACTCAGAAATTCCAAATTTGGGGGTTCAGGACCTCCCCAAAAGCCCAGGTGTTACTGAACCTGCCCTGAAACGCCAATATTTGGGGAATTTCTGGGAATTTCCCAAAAATCCAATTTTTCCCCTAAGAAACCAAAACATTTTCCCAATTCACTCCGAAAAATCCCATATATTTCCAAAAAAATTCTGATTTTTTTTCCATTTTTTCACCCCAAATTCAACTTTTTTCCCTGTTTTTTCCCGTTTTTTCCCCCAAACTCCTGTTTTTTTCGGATCTCTCACCCAGAGGATGCTCTCCCAGGCCATCCAGCGGATGGGCAGCAGCGCGCGGCCGCGCACGCGCCCGTAGCCGGTGCCGTACAGGTTCCGGCTCATCCCGAAATCCGCCACCTTCACGCGCAGCCCCTCTCCCACCAGGCAGTTCCGCGTGGCCAGGTCCCGGTGCACGAAGTTCCGCGCGGCCAGGAAACGCATCCCGGAGGCGATCTGGGCGCCCACATCCACCAGCGTGGCCAGGCTGGCAAAAAAATTCCGGGGTTTTACCAAAAATTCGTAATTTTCCCCCCCAAAAAATCAGGATTTTCCAAAATAAACCGCTTTTTCCCCCCAAAAAATGGCTTTTTCCCCCCCCAAAAAAATTTGATTTTTCTACATGAAAAAATTGCATTTCTCCCCCAAAAATTCAAATTGTTTCTCTTCATTTATTCCTGTTTCTTTCCCCCTGAAAAACCCACTTTTTTCCCCAAAATAATTAGATTTTTCTCCATGAAAAAATTGCATTTTTCACCAAAATTCTTATTTTTGATCTTCATTTATTCCTGGTTTTTCCCCAAAAAAATTTGCTTTTTTCAGCATAAAAATCCTGATTTTTTCCCCCCAAAAACCAGCTTTTTTCCCTGAAAAAAATTCAATTTGTCTGCATGAAAAAAATTTAATTTTCCCCCCAGACTGACTTGGAGTGGGCGTGGCTCAGGTGGGTGTGTCCATGTTGGGGGCGTGGTCTTTTCTGATGGGCGTGGCTTAATTAGGGAGGGGATTTTCTTAAAGGGCCAGAACCCTAAAAATGCTAACAGAAAACCTCGCTGAGTGGGCGTGTCCCCAGTGGGCGTGTCCACATTTGGGCGTGGCTTAATTAGGGAGGGGCTTCTCTTAAAGGGCCAGCACTCCAGAAATGCTAACAACTCAGAGTGGGCGTGTCCCCAGTGGGCGTGGCTATGATGGGCGTGTCCACATTTGGGCGTGGCCTAAATATCGAGGGGCTTCTCTTAAAGGGCCAGAACCCCAGAACCATTCTGAGTGGGCGTGTCCTGGTGGGCGTGGCTCAGGTGGGCGTGTCCACATTTGGGCGTGGCTTAATTAGGGAGGAACTTCTCTTAAAGGGCCAGAACCCCAGAAATGCTAACAGCAAACCTCGCTGAGTGGGCGTGTCCCTAGTGGGCGTGGCTCGGGTGGGCGTGTCCACACTTGGGCGTGGTCTAATCATCAAGGGGCTTCTCTTAAAGGGCCAGAACCCCAGAGCCATTTGGAGTGGGCGTGTCCTGGTGGGCGTGGCTCTGGTGGGCGTGTCCACATTTGGGCGTGGCCTAATTATCGAGGGGCTTCTCTTAAAGGGCCAGCCCCCCAGAAATGCTAACAGCGAACAACTCTGCGTGGGCGTGTCCCCGGTGGGCGTGGCCGGGGTGGGGGTGCGTGGGCGTGTCCCACCTGAGGGCGTGGCCGCGGGCCCCGCCCAGGAAGCGGTGCAGGTCTCCGTGCTCCATGTACTCGGTGACGATGCACAGGGGCCCGGGGCCGCCGCACACCCCCAGCAGCCGCACGATGTTGGGGTCCCGCAGCCGGCCCAGCGTCCGCGCCTCCTGCAGGAAATCCCGCCTGGGCCCGCCCGGCGCCCGCCTCAGCGCACCTGGGCACGCCCGGG